GAGATGTGATTTTTTTGTTGTTGATCGAGAGACCGAGACTCTCCAGAGTTATGTTTCACAGAAACATGTGCATGTGGATGAAACTTGCGTACAGCCTTGTTGATTTTTTGTATATGTTCTGGAGGAAGAAAGATTCGGGCCTTGACAGAGTCTAGCCTGACATAGACAGAGTCTATGTAGTCTATCACCTGAGATGGTATGAGATGTGATTTTTTTGTTGTTGATCGAGAGACCGAGACTCTCCAGAGTGTGAATAATGAATCTGGTGTCTTGCAGAGCTCGATGTCTTGACGGGGAGACCACCAACTAGTCGTCTATGTAAGGATAGACCTGGATCCCAAGGGTAGACGAAGGTAGGCCGCTACTGGAGCCATGCATTTCGTGAAGGTTCTTGGAGCTGTTGATAGCCCGAACGGAAGAGCTCTGAATTGATAAATGGTGTTTTGAAAAATGAACCGAAGGTATTTTCTGTGATTGGGATGGATTGTTATATGGAAGTAGGCATCTTTTAGATTCACAACCACAAACCAATTCTCTTTCTTTAGCAGGTGGATGATTGATTCCAATGTGACCATTTGGAGTTGTTGTGGATGAAGGTAAGTGTTCAGCATCCTGAGGTCGAGTATCGGTCTGATTCCACTGTCCTTCTTGGGAATGACAAAGTAGCAGGAGTAGAACCCCTGTTTTATGTCCCTCAGGCACTCTTTCAGAATGGCTTGCTTTTGTAGAAGGACGAGAATCTCTTCTTTTAGGACAGGATCGAAGGATGTAAGCTTCACTTCTCCTAGAGGAGGAAATTCTGTAAATTCCAGATGGTAGCCAAATTGAATAATGTTTAAGACCCAAGAGTCTTTTATGATGTTTGACCAATTGGGAAGAAATGGTAACAGCTGGGTTGCTTGATGGGTTCCGAATGGTGTTGTGGTGAAGTCAAAGGTACTGCTTTGACTTTTTGGCTGGTGGTTTGTAGGACTGTTGTCATTGTGAGAATTGTGGATGGAAGGTGGAGGTGGAAGATGAAGCCTGGGATGACCTAATTTGATTCTGATTTTTGAAAGAACGGTAAGATTGAGATGTCTGCTGGTATTCCTGAGGGTATTGCTTACACCATTGGCACTTGTTGTATTTAGGTTGTTGCTGAATAGTATATGACTTTGCCGTTTTCTTTATGTCATCTTTTTTTCATTGAAGAGGTGGCGACGTTGAAGGGAGAGGATGAAGAGGAGGAGGCATAGACATATTTAACCTTTCTCCTCTTCCTGTGATGATCGCTCAATGTTGACGATGAGTCAGTGTCGAAGTAATCTCTACGACGCCGATGGTGATGTCTTTTACAACTGGTGTCAACATAGTCGGAGTTGTCATACTTAGACCTATGTTGACGTCGAGAGGAACAAGGGAGGACTACTACCTCGTGTCAAGATTGACACTGATTGGGAGAAAGGTGCTTAGTCTTAGTGGCCCATTTACAAGGTGGAGAATCCACCCTCAAAATAGTCGACAGCGAAGATGGGGCCAGTGATGCCCACCTGGTGGAAACAGGGCTATTAGGGGTAGAAGCCAAGCTGGCAGGAGTCAGTGACAGATCATGGTTGACCGAAACAGGCTTGTGCTGTCGTGGAGGAAGAGAAGCAGGCGGCTCTGACAGTGATTCCCGGTCCCGGCAGGAGTCCTCCAAAATCAGCGAAGGCAACAATGCTGAGACAGGAGGGATCGACTTGTGGTGGTCTTTCTGTTTATCCATAGTTTTAGAGGCTTGTTTCTTTTGTTTTAGCTCTTTGGTGGAGGAGCTAGAGCCCGTTTTCGATGCCGAAGCCGACGACTTCTTAGCAACGGTAGGCTTTTTGACTGGTTTATCGAGTGGTTTAGCAGAGGATGTTTTAGATGAGGTAGTCTGAGTTTCAGATTGTGGAGTGGTGGAAGGAGATGGTGTAACTTCCATTTCAGATGGTTTTGAATCGGACAGCGTTTTGTCCCACAGAAAAAAACTGAGACGCTGCTGGCGGGCTTTCAATGCTGCTTTAGTAAAGTTCTTGCAATGTTTGCAGGAATGATGCTGATGGGATTCGCCTAAACAAAAAAGACAGCGATTGTGACCATCCAAAAAAGGGACCTTGCGGGAACACAAAATGCACCTACTGAAAGGTCCAGAGCGGGACATAACCAGGATAAAAATAAGGTACTTAAGTCTCACAATCACTGAAGAATCAAAATGAAGTCGCCACATTGAGAAGCAGGAAAATGATCCTGTGGCAATCAATTCAAAGCGGAAACCAAAGAGTAGTGAGACAGTCCGTAATCAGGGGCAACAGAGAGTTCGATTAGAAAAGGAAGTCCGAGTCAAATAACTGTAAATCAGCAGGAATAAAGACTAATTAAGTAGCTCAAGATCGAGAGGTTCCAGTCAGAACGGTGGAAAAATGGAACTGAGGGCTGAGGCGGGCAGAGCATGCACTATAGGGGCTACCTTAAACTTTGTTAGTTTTCTCCAAAAGCTCTAGAAGATTCCGAGCGGGCCAGCGCAGGTGCTGTCAAAACCCTATTGTTTGCATTCACAGAGACCAAGATGAAGAAACAGGTGTTTTTCTGGAACTCTCTGGGTTTCTCCATAATCCAGTGCATGTTAGCAATTTGGTCTCTAGTTCCTCTGGCCCTTCGAAATCCAGCTTGTACTTCTGGGAGTTCTTGGTCCACATACTGCTGAAGCCTACCTTGTAGGATTTTGAGCATAACTTTGCTAGCGTGTGAAATGAGTGCAACTCTACGATAGTTGGAGCATTCTTTGGCACTACCCTACTTTGGGATTGGAATGTAGAGTGATCTTTTCAAATCCTCTGGCCACTGCTGAGTTTTCCAAACTTGCTAGCATATTGAGTGTAGCACCTTAACAGCGTAATCTTTTAAGATTTTAAATAGTTCCACTGGAATGCCATCACCTCCACTGGCCTTGTTGTTAGCCATGCTTTCTAAGGCCTACTTGACTTCTTTCTCCAGGATGTCTGGCTCAAGGTCAGCAACCACACTATCTGGGTTGTCTGGGACATCCAGATCTTTCTGGTATAATTCCTCTGTGTATACTTGCCACCTCTTCCCACTTCTTAATGTCTTCAGATTCTGGAAGGTCCCTACCATTTTTGTCCTCTATCATGTTCATCTTTGCACAAAATGTTCCTTTAATATCTCCAGTTTTCTTGAACAGATCTCAGTTTTTCCCTCTCTGTAATTTTCCCCTATTTCGTTGCACTGTTCATTTAAGATGGCCCTCTTGTCTCTGCTTGCTATTCTTTGGAAGTCTGCATTCCATTTTATGTAACTTTCCCTTTCTCCCTTGCATTTTGTTTCCCTTCTCTGCTATTTGTAAGGCCTCCTTGGACAGCCACTTTGCTTTCTTGCATTTCCTTTTCTTTGGGATGCTTTTTGTTGCTGCCTCCTGTACAATGTTACAAGCCTCCATCCGTAGTTCTTCAGGCACTCTGTCCACCAAATCGAGTTCCTTAAATCTGTTCTTCACTTCCACTGTGTATTCATAAGGGATTTGGTTTAGATTATACCTGACTAGCCCAGTGGTTTTTCCTACTCTCTTCAGTTTAAGCTTCAATTTTGCTATAAGAAGCTGACAATCAGAGCCACAATCAGCTCCAGGTCTTGTTTTTACTGACTGTATAGAGCTTCTTTGGCTGCAGAGAATATAATCAATCTAATTTCAGTATTGGCCATCTGGTGATGTCCACGTGTAGAGTTGGCTCTAGTGTTGTTGGAAAAGAGTGTTTGTGATGACCAGCTTGTTCTCTTGAGAAAACTCTATAACTTTTGCCCTATTTCGTTTTGAACTCCAAAGCCAAACTTACCTGTTGTTCCTTTTATCTCTTGATTCCCTACTTTAGCATTCCAATCCCCTATTATGAGATGAATATGTTTCTTTGGTCTCAGTTCTAGAAGGTGTTGTAAGTCTTCATAGATTTGGTTAATTTCAGCCTTTTCTGCATTGGTGGTTGGTGCATAAACTTGGATTACTGTGATGTTGAAAGGTCTGCCTTGGATTAGTATTGAAATTATTCTATCATTTTTGAGATTGTATCCCAGTACAGCTTTTCCTACTCTTTTGTTAACTATGAAGGCTACTCCATTTCTTCTGTGAGATTCTTGCTCACAATAGTAGATATGACAATCGTCTGAACTGTATTCGCCCATTCCCATCCACCTTAGTTCACTGATGCCCAGGATGTCAATGTTTATTCTTCCCATCTCCTGTTTGACCACATCCAGCTTACCAAGGTTCATAGATCTTACATTCCAGGTTCCTACGCAGTATTTTTCTTTGCAGCATTGGACTTTCCTTTCACATATATACCTACACACAAATTCTATGCATTATCATTGTCAGGTGCTTCTGTATATCAGTTGCTGAATAGCATAAGCAAGTGCAGCTTTATAGGTAATGTTTTGACCAAAATCTAAATAGAATGCTGGACTACCTATGCCTCTAGCCTGGTCTAGGTTAGCTCTTATATACTGAACAAGTGCAACCCATGTGTTTCTAAGCTGTGATTTTTTCTAAGCTATGAACTCAAAATGAAAGCTTTCAAATATCCTTCTCATTCACTTTATTGAAGATTTCACCAAACCAGAAACCACTGAAAATCAATGGGCAAAATCCCACTGTACAATAGTGTAAACTGGGTCTGGGAATGGAAATAAGTTGTTTAAATAAATTAAAATAATCCTATCTACCCCTTTCAGTTTCTGAGGCTCCCTAGGGCTCCTTTTGGCCCTGAGGAGGCTTTTTGTAGCTTTGGAACGGTGGGGGTGGGTGGGCAGTCTTTAACAGTCAAAGATCACTGTTAAAGTGACAAGTTAGCTGCTGGCAGGATCAGGAGGACACTGAGTAAAAACCAATTAGGGGGTACACATTTGATAAATGTAATATACATATTATTCTTTTTGCTGTAAGTATGAAAACCTCAGAAAGCTACCCGACATGAAACATGAAAAATTCTCACCTATATGAAAGAAATGTTCCATCGGAATCTGAGGTATGTTGTGTTCTTCCATTCTCATTTGACAAATCTAGAAAAATAAATATGACAGTTTTCAGGACAATCATTAAAATCAAAGATAGTTAATAATTATTTATATTAAAATATATGGAGCATGTTCTGTAAAAGTGTAGCAGGGACTTTTCAGAGGGAAGCAGAAGTAGCCTTTCAATGTACCTGCAGTTCTCTGGAGTAGACCAGTTACCATTGAAAACGTTCACTGGTGACCTTCACTAAATGATCAAGTTTATACGATTTTATTTATTTAGTATCACTTGTAGTATACCTTGCTCCTGATGAGGGGACATGAGGTGGCTCACAATGTGAAAACGAATAAAATTAAAAACTCATTCAAAACAGTTAAATTGTAATGCAGTGGTTCCTGTACTTACGAACTTAATCTGTTCCGGAAAATGTTGGTTAGTTGAAACGTTTGTAAGTAGAAGTACCATTTCCCATAGGAATGCATTGAAAACCCATTAATCCATTCCAGCCAACCCCCCCCCAAATTAAAAATAAAACACTGCGAGCCCCTGGGGCTGCAGAAAACAAAACAAATAAAAAAGAAGCATAACCCCACCAGCCCAATCCCACCCTGCAAAAGCCACCCAAAACATTTTTTTAAAAGCAGCACCTTACCTCTACCACTGCGACCGCCGCTGCCAGGAGGCCTCCTGGGCTCCAGCTGCCACTGCCAGGCCAGGGCTTCTCCATCACTGCCACAGGCTTTTCCGGGGTTAGCCGCAAGCGCTGCCTTTCTCCCCCGCTGCGCAGCTTCTCTGCCGCCATGGAAGGCTTTCCTGGGGCTTGCCCCAATTGCTGCCTTTCTCCGCCGCCATCCTCTGCCGGGCCAGGGTTTATGCACCGCCAACACAGGCTTTCCTGGGGTGGTAGACTGGCCCTACGGGAAAGCCTGCGCTGGCAACGTGGAAACCATGGCCCGGCAGCGGATGGCGGCAGAGAAAGATGGCGATTTTTTCTGCACAGGAAAGTCTTCCATGACAGTGGAGAAGCTGCTCTGTGGCAGAGAAAGGCAGTGATTGGGATGAACCCCAGGAAAGCCTGCGGCGGCTGCGCTGGAAGTCCGGTAGGCTGAGCCCAGCCGGGAAGGTCTGGCAGCTCACCTCCCGGCAGTGGGAGCAGAAGTGCTGGAAGCCCGGGAGGCTGAGCCTCCCTTTTCCTAACCATTACGGCGAAAGGGCTACAAAGAAGCAGCCTCTTCGCCACCAGCGGTTTGAATTTCCCACTGTTTTCCCCTGTCTTTTTCGTTCGTTTCTTGAAGTTCCGGCCGCAAGTAGAAGCAAAATTTTGCGGCCGGAGCTGTTCGTAAATTGGATCGTTCGTAGGTAGGGACGTTCGTAAGTAGAGGGTCCACTGTAGTATGTAATTAAAATACATCAAATGATTAAAAACACTTAAAACTTTAAAAGAAAACTTGCTTAGCTAAAAATAGCATCCAGGGGCTTGTTTATGTTAATTAAAAGCCTGGTGAAGAGGTAGGTATTCAACTGTTGGCAGAAGGAGAAAAGGAAGAGGGCTAACGTAAGTTCCAGAGGGAGAGTATTCCGCAGCCTGGGAGCAGCCATAAAAGGCCCTTTCTATTATCTCCTTCAAGTGTGGCTCATTATGAACAGCCATATAAAGCTTTAGTTTTCCTCTAAGTTCTTAAATTCCCAGCTACACCTAATGATAACGGAGAAGTGATTTCACTGGTAAATAGCCAGAGTGTTGAAATTCACCTAGAAATTACATAATTCATTGAAAAGCCTCCTCCACAGCAATTCATTGCCACTGTATCTTTTAGAAAGCAACTTATTATATTGCTCATTGCATTACTCTTTAATTCTTCCCAACTTTTCTATTACTTACACAACTAAAAAGCTAGGAATGATAAGAATATAGCACAATACTTGAAAAATTCCACTGAAGTGACTAACAATCACTTAAAATGCTGTTAAACACTATGCTTTGAATGCAAGCTCTGATGTGTAGCCTACTGGTGCTTTCTTTAAAAAGTAATAACTAACATAACAATTAAAGTAGCACTTTAAAAATGTTTGCTGTTAATGTCAACATACAGTATATTCATTTGATTTTTAATTTTACAATTTTTTTTACAGTAACATTCCAAATTTTGAGTGACAGACTAAATGAGGGCTTACAATCAAGGTTAATCCAGACATCAGGATTAAGTGACACATGCCTTAAATTGCATCCCATTTGGACTACTGTGATATGTTCTTGATGAGTTTTTCTTTGAAAATTATTGGAAACACTGGCTGGTCCCAGCTAATGCTGTCGGACTGCTGACATGGAGCACATGAATGTCTAGATACATATATTCTATTGGCTACTAATCTGTTTCCAGGAACAAACTACCCCATAAACCATTGTACAAATACAGGACTGGTTATTTGAAATAATATATTATTTTTCATATTCTCTTTTGTTGAAGAATCTCTGTGGGTTTTGAGACATTTGGAAGAGGCTCTACTTCCAGTCTTGCTGTCCTTGGAATCCCATGTTGAGGAGATACAATAGGTGGCTTTTCTTGTGTACTTTGTAAGGCTCTAGAAGTTCTTATCAATACAGATTATGTTGCCTTCCCCCTATTGTCCTGCCAGCAAAAACCAACCTTTTTCAGACAGGACTTTAGCATTCTTAATACTGTATTTTAAATGTATTATTCATTTATATTGTATTTATTTTATTTGAATTTTATAACAAGATGTAAATTAAATAAATAAATCACATGGAGAAAAAAGTCAAGAAAGAAGTGATATTTATTCTTGAAGAAATATAATATGAAAAAATAAATAAGTGGCCTCCAATTAGACATCTATATATGGCCACTCCTTTTAACTCTATATACAGTGGTGCCTTGCTTGATGACAATAATCCGTTCCAGCAAAATCACTGTAGAATGAAATCGTCGTCAAGTGAAAGTAAAAAGCCCATTGAAACGCATTGAAAACCGCTCAATGCATTCCAATGGGCGAAATATCTCAGCATCCAGCGAAGATCCTCCACAGGGCGGCCATTTTCTGATGCCTGTGCAGCAAAAAATCCATCCTGAACACAGCGGGGAGCTGGCGGCCATTTTGAAAACCCAACAATCAGCTGTTTTTGATCGTCAGGAAGCGAAAAATCAGTTCCCGAAGCAGGGGACCGTTCATCGTAAAGCGAATTTTCCCTATCTAAACATCGTTTTGCGATCGCAAAAACCTCATCATACAGCGGATTCATCATACAATGAGGTAATTGTTAAGCAGGGCACCACTGTAATGGTTGAAATGTTTTTTTCAGACTGACATGAAACAAAACTGGGATTTCGCTTTCAATGATAAAACACTTTGCAATTCTTCTATGTTTCACAGACAAAAAATAAAAGGTATTTTTGACTAATCATCAACAACTGTATTAGATCATGTTTACATGGTTAATGCTTGGCAATGATTAATCATGATAGTTTCTGTTCTAAAGACATTAAATCGTATACCAAATCATGTACACTTTTAAAAAGGCATAATTTGTAATCTCAGAGAGGGAAAAAAGCAAGAGAAGAAATTGCTTACATTATGAAGTTGTAAATTATGATAAGATATTTTAAAAATACCACATACTTTTATTTTAACATATTTAAAGCTTAATAATTTAATGATTTATTCATTTTTAATTTATACTTTCAAAACACTCTGAGATGCCACTGGAGATCATAACAGTGGTCTTGGTTAAGTCAAATAATAATTAGAGCTTTCACTTTAAAGATAAGATTATTTTTAATTATTGAGTGAAGTACTTGAGGTACCATACTTATATAATTACACTACTCATTAAACGGTTATTGAAAGCTGAAATGTAATTTTAATGACAGCTACCTATTTTTCTTTGCACACTTTGTAGATGACAGATCAGTCAAGAATACTGGTTTGCTCAAAATTTCCTGCAGCTGCAGCAGAGCTTTCAGGTGTAGAACAATTAGGATGTGCTTATTTTAAAACTTTTTTTAAAAAATGTTCTCTCAATTAAGCAGTATTTTTATAAGGCGCAGAAATAGCAAGGGAAATAAATAGGCATCAAAGATTGTCTCATAAGTGGATATTCCTCCCTCCCACCCTAATTTTCAAAGATAGTAGACATAATGTTCCGATATGGTGCTAATATAGACTACTCTTGAATCCAAGCCTCTAGAAGAAATCTGCTAGGGATCACAAGACAGGGTGTAAATTTAATTTACTAGAATCTGGACAACAAAATGGTATAATACAGCATAGAAGGTCATTCCAATAATTAACAATAATAAAACTAACAGAGAGATTTCACTCAAAATAGATCTTCCACAGAAAACTAAGAAAACATCTACAGTAAAAATGCAGATGCTAGATATGAGAAGCAGTATTATGCAATTATTCTGATTATTTAGAAATTTATTGATGTAATATTAAAATGACACTTGATGAAACAGTTTAACACAGAAAACACCTGCAGATTTCTAATTTCATTCTTTATAAAATGTTTTTGCATTGTTTCAAAAGAATACAATACAAATCAAACTTTTCTTTCTAGCTGTAAAAACCAAACAGAGAATTTATTTTGTTACCAGCATTAAAGGAAAGATTTTTTTTGAGTTTGATGTACAGAGAAAAGACATTAAAGTTTAGAGAAGGGAGCAATTGCTTTGTTCCCTCAGTCCCTAGTTGAAATTAATTATAGCAAATGTTTATGAAAACATCTGTTCCATACAGTTATAAATTCTTAATTTTAGCATGGACAATTTCAGGTTCCTCCTATTTTGAAGCAGTATAGTCTGAGGACTGCAGAGTTAACAGAGAATAGATAATTTGTATGTCAGTGGATTGCAAACATTAAATCTCCAATGTTTTGAATATTTCTGTAAAACAAACCCTACACAAAATGCTCTTTTAAAAAGCTACAGAAAATCTTATAAACCTCCATTTGCTAAAACTGATGATAAAATTAAAAATGTTTAAATTTATGATTTAAAAAAAAAGCGATTTACTTGTAAAATGC